GAGCAAGACTCTGTCTCAAAAAAAATGAAAAAATAAATAATAATAATAAAACTCCTGACTAACGAAGTGGCCATCTGTCATCAAAGCAGCTGGGGAATTCATCTCTAACCAAAAAGAATCATCTTGTGACCCTTCATAGGCTGCAAAATTGTCAGCGTCAACAGGTCAGCTCTAGCGCTGCCGAAAGATGCTGCGGTAGTTTCATGCACGCATCGTGGCCCCTGCCCGGTCTGGCCTCCCGTAGAGACTTAGTGATGCAGCCTCCTCCTAGGGTTATGGTGAAAGTGAAGACGGGCTCTATTTTACAGATGAAATTGAATATGAAAACCAAAAAAGGCTGGAAGAAGAAGAGGACTTGAACGTACTTACATTTGAAGATCTTCTTTGCTTTGCTTATCAAGTTGCCAAAGGAATGGAATTTCTAGAATTTAAGTCGGTAAGCTCCTTTTAAAGAAAAAAAATATTTAAAATTATGAAAAATATGTTCTTATATGTTTTTTCTTATTTATTTTAACTTATGTCTCTTAAAGTCTGCTTTTTCCCCTATTCACTGTGGAGTCACTGTGACTGATTGTAGCATAAAGGCCCCAGAATCCCTTGTCAGGTAGCAGCCAGCAGAGCCTGGATTTCCCTGGCTCTCCAGAGTCCCCAGAAACTTCCAGGGCAGAAGGTCAGGATATGAAATCCTCAGAAATCCCTCCTCAAAGCAAAGCGTAGCATTGTCATCCTGTCCTTGGACAGTCGTTCAGGTTGTGCCCTGCATGTGGCCATCCGATGCAGCAGGTGAGTGGAGGCTAAAACCCGGTGCTCTGCTGGCTGAGCTGGTCGCCCTGAGTGTCTTCGTCTAATTTGCACGAGCATGCCGTGGGCTGGCAGCAGCTGTGAGCCTGCTGCCTCCTTGGTTGCTCATCCCAGATCCACTGGGGCTGTGCTGGGAAGGCCCTGGAGCCTGCCTCAAACCACGCTCTCCTCCCCAGTTTTGCGTTCTGTCTGCATTGCCTTTCAGCCCTGCTGGTCTCTGCCATTTCGAATGTCTCATGACTATAAGCAGATAAAGGCCATGGCTGCTTTCTTTCCTCATTTTCTTGCCTTTTGTTGCCTTCTCTTTATTTCCCAAACCTCTTCCCCTTCTTTTTCTCTTTTCTTTTTCTTTTTTTGAGATGGGGATCTCACTATATTGCCCAGGCTGGTCTCAAACTGTGATCCTCCTGCCTCAGCCTCCCAAGTGGCTGGGATTACAGGCATGAGCCTGGCCCCCCCCTCTTTTCTCTATTCCCTTCCTTTTGCCTCTTTTCTCCTCTTTTGTCTCTGAATTTATAGAGACTAATTTCAACTATATTTTATTTTTCCTTTAAAAAATTAGTCTCAGTGATATTTCCCCACATCTCAACTCCGAGGCACATTCTTCCTTTCATTGCCCCTCCCTGCTGTTTGGATTACCTGTTTCTCAAGCCTCTCGCCCACCCTGGTGCTCATCTATAGTCCCCCACGCACCCACGACAGTGCGTTCACAAGTATCTCCGCCGGACAGCAGCTACAGGTTATCTGGCTGTTTGCTGCCCATAGTTCAGTAAAGGTTCAAACCACTCTCAACTGGCCATGAGGAGGCCCTGCTTCCTTCCCTCATCCCCCCACCCCGGGCTTGTAATCATATGAAGTTTTGAAAAATATCCAGTTTCTTAGACCCCCTCCTTTTTTTGTCTTCACTTTAGGCCTTCCCCTCTGAATCACGCATGTCACTGTCCCCTGCCTGTCCCTGTCTCCCCACTTCTCTGGCTGCCCCTCAGTTTCCTTCATAGGCTCTTGCCTTCATCAAACATTTGCTGAGCCTTGACCACATACCATGCACGGTGCTAGGTGTGGAGATAAGAGTCAGTTGTGATATGACTCGTGGGTTCGAAGATCTCATGGTTGATAGGGACAAAGACGCACAGACGTCAAATCAGAGATGACGCGGTAGCGCGATAAGTATCGTGATTGAAGTAAGTTCTGGGAACCCCCGGCAGGGACGTGGGGGCAGGGCGTGGAGATGAGAAGAAAAGGTTTTCTGAAGGAGTTCATGCTTGGGCTGAGGAGAGTTTTGAAGGAAAAGGAGAACCAGTGGGGAACATGGGATAGGACAGGGAACATGGAATCAGGGAGAGATTTTTTTGGATAAAGGTCATGAGTTAGACATACTGAATGTGAGGTGCCTTGGGCAACCACGTAGAGCTTAGTCTAGTAGATTCTTGGACACGCCCATCTGAAGCTCAAGAGACATGTTTGGGTTGGAAATAGACGTTTGGGCGATGGTAGTCGCATCCCTAGGTCTGGATGAAGTGACCTGGGGTGGGTGTGGAGTGAGAGGACGCAGCCCTCGGGAATCAGGCTCATGCACAGAGCCCCTGATGGAAACAGGAGCCACCAGGACAACAGGAAAAAAACAGGAGAGAGGTGTGCACAGAATTCGCAGAAGGAAGGACCTGAAGCGGGAGGGGCTGGCCAACAGTGCCAGAGGCCACAGGGAGGTCAATCAAACCGAGGCTGGCGGGGTGCCACACCAGTCAGTGTGGGCTGCAGCCAGAGCAGGTTGGGCAGACAAGTGGGAGGTGGAGGCAGGTCGCAGGGAACTGGCGGGAAAGTGGGTGAAGTATTCATACACGGCACTCACAGCTCTGGGTGTGGGAGGAGGGAGTGCTAGAGGGGTGGTGGCACAGGAATTTTTGTTTTTATAGTGTTTGCTTTTATTTTTTAAAGATTGAAAGGAGCCCATCGGACCTTTGCTACTAGAGCCCTGTTCCTTTTCAAATCTTCCTTCATAGAGTTAATTTTCTTGCCAGACCTTTTGAATTAATGTCATGACATCTCTCAGTTCAGGAACTCCTTCTAATTCCACGTTAGTCAACCTCCCCGAACTCATTTTTAGGTTTTTTTCGGATCCTTTTCTTTGATATTACTCCATCTTATTCCCAAAGCTATTTCCCAGCCAGAAAAGACATTATATTCTTCACACCACAATAAAAGTGCTGGAACACGGCCTCTGAAAATCACTTTGGAGGCTTGGGGAGGGCCCCTGGGGGTGAGTCTCTTACTTACACCTGGCTCAATTTGATCTTTTCTGTAAGAACCGTTCCTCTTTGGCCTCTGGGAATGCTCCAGAAGTGGCACAAATTTCTGCAGCCACAATAGCTGAAGAATTGGGCTGCTGAGTTCACTCAATTTGTTACACATCACGATGACTGCCCACGGCCCGGTAAAGATAACAGACTTTTCATCATCTGTACCTCCTAGTGAACTTGAAACTGGAAGACAGGTTGCCCTCTGGGGTGATATACATCACAGTGAATAACGCTGCCGTTTCATTTTTTCTAGTGTGTCCACAGGGACCTGGCAGCCAGGAATGTGCTCGTCACCCACGGGAAGGTGGTGAAGATATGCGATTTTGGATTGGCTCGAGATATCATGAGTGATTCCAACTATGTCGTGAGGGGCAACGTGAGGCTGTTATTTCTTACATGTTTTTATACTGCTGGTTTGTGTTTTGTCATTATTGCGGCAAACATCTGCACTTACTGTGGTGTGTTTTTGATTTACGGTAACATCAAAAAGCCCTCACTGCAGTTTGCTGACTTATGCTTAAAAAGGTTTTTCTGCAGCTTCAGGGAATATTCCATCTACCATATAAGTTGAGCAAAATAGCACCCCATCTATCCTTGGGCTAGCTAGTCAGAATAGATCAATTAGGGGCTTCTTAGTGCAATCCTCACTTTAAAAAACCCCCAAATCTCATTACTCGCATTTCAGTTCCCTTAGCTATAAAGTGACTGTTGAGTTATGTTCTCAATTATGCAAAAAGCCGATAGCTACAATAAAGCATTTTGCAAAATGTACAACACATAAATTAAATATTAAGTAAATGTAAAATTGAAAAGGCACAATACTTAAATTAATGAATATTTGTCATCCCATTACTGTTAACACAGGAAGGCCTAAAACATAAATGAATCTCCTCGCTAATAAAAGACTAAGGACAGATGGGTTATTTACAAGAGAACTATTAGAAACACTAGATGACAAAACTATGCAGTTGAAAGAGGTGTTTTTTAAGAATTATGACACCTGGCTTTAAGTCCCCGTTCCATTTCTTTTTGGTTATTCATTTCTGGCATTTCTTTCTGCATTATTTTCCCTACTTGTGAAATAATAATATAATTAAATGCTGATATAGTATTTACGATGTGCTAAGCATTATCCTAGGTGCTTTATATATATTCATTCATTTATTCGTCAAAGTGCCCACTTTGTGAGTGAGGAAACTGAGGCACAGAAGAGTAGCTTGCCCATGGTTACACAGCATGTGGATTTGAACATGGCTAGTCTGTGCCCAAGCCCGTGTCTAACCACTACGATGGAGTGTTTCCCAAGACGGTTATGCACTTACCTCATAGCACTGATGTGGGAATAAACCAATAAAACCAACATGAAAGCTCCTTGTCCAGGGTAAACGTCCAATAAATGTGGAAAATCAAATTAAATCAAACAATCATCTTAGTTGATTTAAGATCTACTGCTCAGTCATTATGGCTGAAGTCATAAATATGCCTGCTCATATGTGGTTATGCAGTTTCTAACCCCGCAAGCTGGTTGTCTCTTATGTGGAGAGAAAATTCCATTTGGGACCACAATTGATTCCTTTAATTAATCAAATTAACCAGACTAGCTTGCTTGATTCAATAGCTCATCAGTTTGTACAGGATTTAAAAGAGGGTTTCTTTCTTGAGCTTTGATTTTTACGTGGCAGATTAAATGTGGGTTGTGAAGGACTCTTTAACCCATGAAAAAGAAAATCAATGCCAATGCCCCGCCCTACTAAGTACCCATCTTGTGTCTTGATTCTAATTCGAGACTACGGAAGTCAGAACGCCCCTTTCATGCTACTAGAAATGATTAAAGCCACAGAAGCCAGGCTGGTGTCATTTCTGGACGTGATGACATGCGCTCTCCTCATGACAATCTTGTGGATGGCATTTCCACTAAAGGTCTTCTGAGAAATGCTTTAACAGAAGATCCCACTAATTCTCTGGTGCCCACTTACCTCTAGGCAACGGACTGGCCACTCCTTAGTGGAAAGTGAGCATCTACTGTTAAACTCATCAATTCCAAGCACAAGCTTTTGTTCAAGACGAGTTGTAAAGAAATATAGTTTGTTTTTTAGGACACTATTATTACAGTGTAAATTCGGAAGTGAAAAACTTCCCCTGGAGGAATGTGATTGTCTCAATTGAGCATTAGGAAGTGCCTTAGGAAGATAATACATTTCATCACCTAGCTCACAAGAGAAGTAATGTCTGTATGTGGAAAATTCACCATCTCATCTCCTTTTGGGTTTCACACAGGCCCGTCTGCCTGTGAAATGGATGGCTCCAGAAAGCTTATTTGAAGGGATCTACACGATTAAGAGTGATGTGTGGTCATACGGAATATTGCTCTGGGAAATCTTCTCACTTGGTATGTTGGGCAGGTTGCTGGCCTCCTTTGCTCTGGGCTTTGCGCATCCTGCCCTCTCTGCACCGCTCCCCACTCTGCCACCTCCTGAGTCAGACAGGGTGCCACCTCCACTGGTCTTACTGCAATGGCAGCCAGTGCCACTTTAACCTAACCCTAACCCTAACTCTAACCCTAACCTCATGCTGATGTCCATAGATCTGTCTTCCTCACTGGTCTGTCACTTGCTTGAGAGCAGGACTCGTGAGTGTTTCTTCCCCTTGCAGCCCCAGCACCAAGCAGTGCCTGGCCCTTGGGAGCTCTCGATACATGTTTGTTAATTCACTGAATCAATGCCGAGACCAGTGAAGAAATGAATGAATGGCTATCCTTCTCTAATGTTTTCTCAGGTGTGAATCCTTACCCCGGCATTCCGGTTGACGCTAACTTCTATAAACTCATTCAGAGTGGGTTTAAAATGGATCAGCCGTTTTATGCTACGGAAGAAATGTAAGTTCAAATCAGACTGTAAATTGGTTGAAATCAGAAATTTACAGCCTGTTTCCAAATGCATGACCAAAAAAGGTAAAAATTCCTGAATGCAAAGTTCATGTGATTCCTCTTTTAAAAGAAAAGAAAATTCTTCCTTTTTGTTTTGGGGATTTCTGAACAAAGCTGAACCTTTTCTGTCCTTAGAACCACCTACTTCCAGGTTTTAATTCCTCTGCTTGAGGGATCCGTGAGGGTGATTAGACTCCATTTCCTACATCATATCTCTTTAAACGCATTTCTATCCGTCATCTGATTTATCCTTTCTGATATGAGTTCAAAATCTAGTAGAAGACTTGCCACAAAACAAACATGCCTTAAATAGGTAGCTCTCAGGAATAAATGGTGTTCATTATACGGAGGATTATCCATTTTGCTTCATTCATACTTCTCACCTTGTTCCTTGTTCTATTACTTTACAGATACTTTATAATGCAATCCTGCTGGGCTTTTGACTCTAGGAAACGGCCATCCTTCCCTAATCTGACTTCATTTTTAGGATGTCAGCTGGCTGATGCAGAAGAAGCGGTATGTAGCAGCCAGGACTCTAAAAGCATGTTATAAAGGAAACTGGTAATTTAAAACACTCATTGCTGACTTCCTAAGAACCCAAAGGTACCAACTTGTCTTTCTCACCACAATTTGTCTTGGTTGCCCTTTAAACGTATGCAATGAGACACATTTACTGATAAATGTTTTGGGGAAAAAAGCACCTTTCCTGAAGATTTCAGCCAATTGATTAACAAAATAAAAGCTCTTAAGTGTCCAGTGCAGAAGACTAAACAACTAAATAAAACTTAATCCCTGGCCTCCAGAGGCCACCGACCCTTTTTAATTCAACATGAAGCCTGAGTGTGGAATAATCAAACGACTCAGTCATGTAATACGGTCGAGTGAAAAGAGCACTGACCTCGAGTCATGAAGGTTGAATACCAGCCCTGCTGCTCTACCTCCTGATAACTATGTCCATTAGGGCAAGTCACTTTACCTCTTCGGGTCTCTGTTTTTTCATCTATAAAATGAGTTGCTAAACTAGATGATCCTTGAGCTTTGGGAACTTGGAATTGCTAACCCTTCCCCCATCAGCACCACCTGATGTCGAGAAGCGAGCCATCCCCAGATGAAATGAGCAAAGGCTGGAACCTTGATCTCCCGATACCTAGGTCCAAATCTTGGCTCCATCATTTACTTCTTATTTGACCTGTTTAAGTCACTTAATCTTTTTTTGGTGCGGTATCTCAGTTTCCTTATCTGAAATATGTGATTAATAAATCTGACTTTATGGAATTGTAAGAAGGAGTAAATAAGAAGATGTATGTGAAAAGACTTTTAGCACATACTGGGCACTTAGTATTTACTCAATAAAATGTCAGTTGAATATAAATCTGATTCCTTCAATGGATTGTCTTTCCTGTTTTCTAAATTGTTAAGAGTCTGTTTTCAAGTCTGTGTTCTCTCTTAGACCTGTGTGGATGGTGTGTGTCCTTTCCTCCTGTTATAAGTTTTTTAAAAATCACGTATAGAAGCTAAGTTATTATCAGGAAATGAGGCCAAAAGGTTGAGGGAGATGGAGAGCCCCTAGGGACTTAGAGGCTATTGGGCAGATAGCTATAAACAGTTAATGACCCTGTAAGATAAACCGAAAGAAACGAGAAACGAGCTGGTGGAGCAAGAGAGAGGCCTGACTGATGTTTGCTTGTTGAGTGGGCTGGTATGGATTTGTTGAGCGAGGCTATGAAGAATGAGTAGCATCTCAGCTGCTGGAGAGTGGATGGTGAGCAGGACATTCCAGAATGCATGAATAAAATAAATAAAGGGTCAAAGTTGAGAAAGTAGAACCGGAGACCCCTTGGCTTTGTTCATGACCACCGGGTCTTGGTTTGAGGCTCTTTTTATGTCCCCATACCTACAGGATGTTCAAGTCGCCTTCCCTCTGAGGCCTCAGGAACTGTTGAACGGCAGCCTATCTGTGAACGATGAATAACTGACTGTCAAAAAAACCCAAACTAACAAGAAGTAGTAGTCAGTAGAGAGTAGAGGGCTGGGTGAAGGGAGGGAGTCTGTAAAATTTAAATAAGCAGAATGCGTGATTCCTAAACCACAAAGTTCTTATAAATAAATAATAACTAAAACATGTATAGCCTTTTATGTATATAAAAGGGCAAAGGAAATAAGCAGGCTATTCACAATGAAATGCAAATGGCCGTAAAATATAGACAAAAATGCTCAACTTTGCTGCTGATGAAATAATTGCAGGTAAGGAGATAAAACTTCTTGCTCAACCAAGGGGCAGAGATGTGAAAGATTATTAATACCCACTGTTGCGAAGCCTCTGGAGAAAATAGTGTGCCCAGACACAGTTGGTAGGAGGAGAAATAAGTATAGCCTTTCTGTAGGACAGCCTGGCCACGTGTGTCACAATTCGGGGGTGCCTCCCCTTTGATCCAGCAATTCCACTTTCCCCGCATGTCCCAAGGATGGACTAGATCAAATGTCACTTTCAGTTAGGATTACATAACCAGTCCATCAAAAGGTTAATTATGGCACATCAGTACTATCGATCCCTAGGCTGCCATGAAAAAAAATGAATAATGAAAATATGTAGCACATGCAACATAAAAGCAGTATAATAACAATATATTGGTAATTCAAAAATAAGGTTCTCAAACAGGATATATAGACTGAGCCTACAGACACAAAACTGTGTGTGCACAGCAAGCTGTCTATAATGGTGGTCACTTCTGATGATTTTTAGTTTTTTTCTGTATACCTTAAATTGCTTATAACTAGAAAATCTTCATAACTAGTAAAAAAAGTAAATCTATTTTCATTTTGAAAAAAAATTTAAGAGCCGTGAAACTCCCAAGTGAAAACTTAAGAATCAGACCTCTGTATCTCTTTTTGTGGCCTTTCTCTTTTAGGTTTTTTCTGCATGGTTTTAGGGTTTCTAGGTGACATTTGATATCTAAGAGTAGAATCAATAATGAAATAAAATATTTGACTATGAATTGATTTTTCCACTAATAAAAGGACCAGAATTGCTCTGTCAATGAATATGTAGAATATCCTCTAAAACCTGTGCATAATAAAGTCAGAGTTAACACATGTACCCTGAAAATATGTACATTCTGTATCAATAAAAGATTTTAAAAGTAATTATCTATAAAGAACAATCATTTTTATTTAAATGATTTCCAATATGGACACATAACATGTAAGTCTTAATAAGACGGTAATCAGCGTCCTCTTTCCCATTTCAGATGTATCAGAACATGGACGGCCGGATTACGGAACGTCCTTGCACCTACCAAAACAGGCGACCTTTTAGCAGAGAGATGGATTCAGGGCCACCCACTCCACAGGATCGGGTTGAAGATTCTTAGAGAAACAATTTAGTCTTAAGGACTTCATCCTCCCCGCCTACCTTAAACAGGTTGTAGATTACCAAAACAAGATTACTTTTATCTCTAAAAGAAAATATAGTATCAACTGCTGCTTTGCCAGATTTTTCTCTAGAAGCCGTCTGCATCGACTCTTGTTTTCAAAGGGACTTTTGTAAAGTCAAATTATCCCGCGCACAAGGCAGGAGGAGCCGATAATGAACTTTGCTGGAGCAGCTACCGACATCCAAAGGCCTTCTCGGGCTGGCTTGAATGAAAACGGTGAACCTGAAGTATAGTATATTCTTGTAAATACATAAAACAAAAGCATTTTGCTAAGGAGAAGCTAATATGATTTTTTAAAAAAATCTATGTTTTAAAATAATATGTAACTTTTTCAGCTATTTAGTGATATATTTTATCAATGGAAATAAAATTTCTACTGTAGACATGTCCATTGTTGAATTATTTACATGGTCTATTTAGGGCAAGACTTAACTGGAGTTTGTGAACCCGCTGAAGTTGTGTGCAATGTTTTGTTTGTCCATGTGTATTTTTTCCTGTTGAGGTGGCTCATTCTTTCTTCAGATTCTTAAAAGCATCAGTCACTCCTGCCCCACGAGGTTAAGAACGACTAGTGTTGAGTGTCTGCTCTCCTCTGTAGCTCTCTGTCCCCTTCGTCCTTTGGAGCTAGCAGCCTCCATCCCATAGGCCTGTAAACTTGCCTTGTTCCCCTCCCCTTACACACCAGGTGCCAGCCAGTTCTGCCTTCTCTTTCCTTCAGCCTGACTTCCCTTGCAGGGCAGTGGTAAGGGGTGAGGGCTCTGGAGCCCGTCTGCACAGGCTGGGATTCTCTTTCTGCCATGTCTTGGCTATGTCGCCTGAGCCAGGTAACTCAACTTCTCTAGCCTCCGTTTCCTTTTCTGGAAAATGGGACAAGAATGACATTCCCCTTGTGGGGTTGCTGGGAGAATTAGATAAATTAAATATATAGCCTCCGTAAGCTATGGTCATATTAATAAATATAGAACATAGACATATATATCACTTAGATCAATGCCTGGCACCTAAGTGAGACCTCATATTATTTTCACTTTCCTTTCTGGTTTTAATCCTTTGCTTTAGACCAGGTCACCATGAACTCACTTAGATTGCACAAATCCCTTCTTCACATAACTCTTCCCTCAATCTCTCCACTATCTAGTGTTTTCTCTAAGCCACGGCCAGATTCATCTTTCTAAATTATTGATTTGCATGTATCACATACCTGGAGAGCTGCCAGTGGCTCCCCAGGGCCCAGCAGCTAGAGCAAAAGTCT